TCGGCCGATTCGCTAGAAATTAAAAAATAAAAAAAAATAGTCAAGCAGTTCCAACAACAATCAATGTCGCGATGTTCTTTCAACCTTTTCCTTCTTAATACCGGATTCATTGTCTTGGCAACTATTTCTTTCGATTAAATTACTGCCCCCGTTCCTTTTCCAATTTTGATGAACCAAAACCCTGAGATTGGAAATTAAAGCGTAATATTAGCCCATTAAATGAGATGCCTTGTTTATTGTCCTCCTACATTCCAATCGAGATGGTGACAATTAAAAAAATGGAACAGTTAATATTTGAAACCTTAGACAGGCATTAAATTGAAAAAGATATCCAGTGCCCACTATTTACCAATGTTTACTGGAATAAGCCAGATATTTTTCATAAACTTACAAGTTATCCGTTTACTTACTTCAATTTATTGGATTATTTAAATTTTGAGGTTTATTGAATAACGAAACTGATCTGAAATAAAGGTATATTTAATTATGGCAAAACAAAAAATAATTATCATCTTAATCATGGAGATAGCCTAAATTGAAAGGGTGAGCTGAGGATCGAAATCTTCTTGCAACTGGATTCCACAACCTTCAGACTGCGTTTGTCTTTTACTCTCACTTTGTTTAAATTGGAAGTGGCGGTTTTTCAGTTATTTCCTAATTTACCAATTGCGGTGATTGGGAAGTGGAGGATACGCTTCTGGGGCTCCTATGAAGAACTATTTTTTACGTCAACACATGAAGGCTCCTGTAACTGCTTTTGTGTGCAAATCCATCTTTATTCATCGAGCATTGCTTTAAACCATAAAAGATAACACACTCGAGGAATATTTTAAACGGTTTGACCCGACCTTGTAGCGGATTGCTACTTTATTAAAGCCTGACTGACTCAGAAATCTCTATGGCAGATCCTCCTACATCTAGCTAGGCTCCCAGAACTAGCTTAGCTGTAGACAAGCTATGAAAGGAAACAGACGTATAGCAAGGAGCACGTTTATTCAGTCAGTATATTGCAGATCAAGTGTCACGCATGGGGCTACTCATGATCAGGATGGGGGATTAGGTTAAACAGGGGTTAATGATTGGTCACGGATGGATGAGGGATTAGGTTAAACAGGGGTTCGATCATGATCAGGATGGCGGATTAGGTCAAACAAACAGAGGCTAGTGGTCACTGTTTGTACGGTCGCTGCACACAGAGTTGTACGGCGAACTGTTTGTACGGTCGCTGCACACAGAGTTGTACGGCCGCACCTCCCAATCCTGGCGAGCAGACATGCAGGCAACGATGACGAACAACGCGATAACGTGTCCCACAACCTCAAGTCAAAAGTAACCTCGATCTGAGAAATGGCCTATTGAGCACCATCATTCACGGTATTAAGTTCTGTAGCACCATTGAACCGCTCTATATCATTCATAGTTCTATCCAGGATAACTGTATGATCTCACTCGATTACTTACATGTTTAGGAAATTGAGGATGTGACTATTACAGGCCTGAAACTACATGGCATATTCGTATGTTCCAAATGGTCATCACTACTAAGGTGGTTCTATTTGCTTAGTAATAACACGTAAAACATTCTGCCTTTATAAATGCACTATTAGTAGGTCGAATAAGGTGAAATTCCAGCGACATACTTTTAACCCGCATTTGGTGTACAATAATCCTCTATTATAAATGAAAGAACTTTTCTATAATCTCAAAACCGCCTCTGGATACTTGCCATAAAATGGACGTCATTCAAATACCTTATGCAGTTTTTCTCGGACATCTCATTGTTCAACAATGCAACTAACTATATTGCAGATTTTCCTCATTTCAGACAACCTTGATAAAATCGTCGATATTGGCAATGAATCGAAGATATTTCTTAAGTCATCTAAGGTGAATACGGTTTCACAAAGTGGATCAATACCTTTCAGGGTTACTATTTTACGACAATTATTGCCGTTCCATGGACTGTAGTACAAAACCTCCGTTGATAACCATTCACTAACATGTACACTAAAGTATTTCTCCACTATATCAGGAAGGCAACACTTCGGTATGAAGATGAACCAGTTTATACTTCTTTACCCTTGTGAATACTGTTTACTTTAACATTCGCCCAGGATTTTGTCTTGTTAACATTAGTTAAATCATTTCAATATGCTCGTACCTAGGGACTGTCAGCTCCACTTCTTAAATTCGAATCCTAAGTTTTGAAGTTTCAATTTTCAACTCTTTCTAGTTCCTTCAGTGTAAGATACAGCATAATGATGCATCAATTTGTAATCCAGCATAATGTAACCCTTTTATCGACGATAAAACTTCACTCGGCATTGGCAAAAAAGAAATTGAATTGGCAAGACCAAATAATTAAATTTAATTATGCACCAATTAAAACTGGATATGTTGGACAAGATTTTGGGTAAGTGATCCAAAGCTCAGCGATAATCATGGTTAAATAAAGCAATTTAGAAGTGACATAAGGTGAATTTAGGAAAACCTTCTTGTTTGCATAAAAGCCACCACCAAGGGGCAAGGATATTTTATTTACGTTTTGCAATGTCAATCAATGCTGACTTAAGGAAAAGAAAATGAATATAGTAAATAATGGAAAAATGCACTAAGGAGTGTAAAGGGGGTGGGTGGGTGGTAGGAAACGTGTTGAGGTAAAGGTCAATTTGACAGTCAAACGTCATTCGACTTTGAACTGCAAAGTTACACATCTCAAGATCTTCACGTGCGATTAACTTGGGCGTTGAGTCATTTAACTACTCAAGCAAAGATACTAGCCAGCTGATCGTAGCTTGCATGATTTCAATAGGACGGAGATCATTGGCGTTTACTCAAGGTTGGCTCTTAGAAATAGCAGGAACTCCAATTATTTTAGTTTTGCATATTTTCATACAACTGCTGTTTAATGAGTTTCATTAGTGACTAGATTAATGGATAGAATTATTTATTTATATCAAATGGCAGGGATTATGATAGTTATCATTAGCCCTTTAGTTGACTTCAGGCTCCACAGAGGGAGAGGAACATCAAATCGAAAAAAAGTCGAGAGAGGAGGGTGAACAGAAGAGTGTTTTAAAGATGTAAAAGAGACAGACACAAAGGAAGAAAAAAGGTGAGGTGAGCACTGTGGAAGAATTTGACAATGACATACAGTGTGGTGATGGTAGTTTGAAGTGAGAAGTCAACTGCCG